TTTACTTCCCTACGGTAATTGCTGTGCACGTTGTAAAGCGGTGGGGACACGAATTCGACCCCTGTCGTCCCATGGACGCATCACTTAGGGCGAGGAAAAAGAGCGGCACCGGTGCTAGTGAACAAGAATTCAATTCCACGAATTGCCAAGAAGAGGCATCCAAAGCTGAGGCAAAGCGATGAAGCTGTGCTGAATAGAATTGAATAAAGGCCTCCCAACATATGCACTATGTGGGAATAAGTTTGAACATGAATGGATTTTACGGATGGTAATAAGGTGATATCACCTCTCGCAGAGTAAAATGACTTCGAATTGCCCAAATGATCTGAGCTGGGGAACAGTAAGACGTCATGACTACCTCGGTGACGGTAAGACTCAAAGTGTTGTAACATTTGTTGATAAGTCAAGTCAGCTCAAAATATCCGAAGGAGGGTTTAGGCGGGTTAACGAGACATGTTAGTGCCTGAGAAATCGCTTGCTTCACACAAAGACGCACTCATTTGGTGGTTGCACTACCATCAGAAGAAGGCCATTCTCAGGCGTTGAGGCGCGTGTCGCCACCTTGCGTTTGTGCAAGTGCGCTTGTAAAAGTGACAAAATTGTGATTGCTGCCCCAGTTGAACGAGAACATCTCTGGTATGCACATCTGTCAGCAGAGCCAAATAAATGACACATGATCTTAGAGGGAGCCTTCACAACCAAAAAACGGAAGAAGTTGTGACATTTTTATTGATAGAAGGAAAAGCAGTGCGACAATCAGTTTTCAATGGTGTCATTTTAAGGCTGTCCATTCTTGCCTCTGCATGAGATCAGCAGTAGCAAAGTAAATGACTGGGGGATGCGTTTATTTTGGACGATTCCATGTGCGCGTTGCAGACTCCATGCCTTCAACTAAAGGGTTGCAGGCTGCAACGTCTGTTGCAAAAAACTTCACACATTGTAAATGCTTTTAGAGTCGCTTTAATGAATGTGAAGACTGCAAAATGATCGAGCGAAGCATTAACTCTTCTCTAAATATGAACTCATAAATCGCCGATAATGATTTTCGAATCTAAAGGTATCCAAACAAAGAGAGCAGTTCCTCCATCAGTATTCATTCATAGTTCTTTCCCGAGGGCATTTCAACATACGCTTATAAAAGAAATCGTTGCTACTATTGAGTAGGACTACGAGTACCGTTGCAGACATCTACATCGTCACCAACATCGGGCACCGACAAAAATAACTTTGTTGTCCAACTCCCACTCATAGCATCTTTCATGAAAGCATGGAAGCAGTCATTTACTCTCCCCCATCCATTATGGACTTTCAAAGTATTCAAGGTGGGTTGTGAGCACAATGTCTTGGTTGTAGCAACCACGCAGGAGTATGGATCGAGGAGACGTGGAGGGACCCCCACAATTCGTTCAGCATCCTGTGCCTCAGGCAACGGTGAACGAGGGCGATAGCATAACGCTCAAGGCCATCGTCAGACCCGCAGGAGATCCCACCCTTGAGGTTCAGTGGCTGAAAAATGGCGTTGTTCTTTCCGCCTGTGAGTTACCTCTCATGCAATTTTATGAAAGCACTACTCGAGGTTTCTCCTCCAGTCAGCCTCACAGTAAGAAGGACGAGGAGTGGTTGAGGTTTGGAGGCATGCAAAGCCATTTGCAACAGCACGCAGCGGCTGTTCAGAGATAATGTGAAACACACATTTTTTTTTCCATAAATCGGACACCACTCGTCTCACACTTGAGAACCACACAAATTTTGGAACTTTAAGCAATTTCGCTCCACATTTAGCCTAATGGAATAAAAATATTGTGCTAAAAATGCATAAAATGAAAGATTTCATCCCTTTTGTAAAAGTAGGTGTGTGCGACTATTTGAGAGTACAGAAATGGAAAAAAATAAACCCTTTGAAATAGGGAGCGCAATAATGATTCCATGGGAGAGGTGCCGCTCCCGTGGTTTGCCTTCCATCCTCCTCCTCCTCTCCCTCTACAGCAGCATTACTTTACGTGCACATTTTGCTTGGCCTCTTCGAAGGGATGGAGGGCTACTGAATGGATTAGATTTACTTGCAAAGTTGGTTTGATGAGAATTGTGGAGAAGGTGTTTTGGGTTCACCTTTGAGAGGTTGAAAACTGCTGTCCATAGATGCGTATGAAGGCACGGAGTCAGGGCTACGAATTGCTCTCCCCTTGAGGCGCACAAAGTAGTCAGGCAGGCCACAGGCCCTTGAAGACCTCAGAGCATTCAGTGGACCCATCTCTTTTGAAGAGTAAATTGAGTGATCCTTCACTAGATGTAATTCCTTGCAATGTATTATAACTTTTTAAGCGCCTATGTTGGAAGTGTTGTTTATTGAGCTCGTGACTGCTGGCATTGCGAAAAATTACGACAAAAGATCTTTTTTAATTTGTTTTACTATTTTTTATTGAGAGAAAAATGATTACGTGGCTCTGAGATTCCTCATGGATGTAATGCTTTTTCTGCGCACACTTTGCATTCGCCTTTGCTTGACGGAGTGAAAGCCTCTCTTGACGGACAGAGGCGGTGAAAGACTCACCAAGCAGCAGAAGCTAAGTGGCCCACTTCGATGATGGAATTTTCTCCTTATGCCTTCAACAAGCAATAAGAAGTTTAAAAAATACCTTGGATAGACCTGCTGTAGCAATCATGACCATTCATTTTTGATAGGTTTTAAATCCTTGACGTCCAGCCAAGATACGTCACCAGTGGGCGGTGTTACAGTCGAAAATTTTGACAAGCCAGTATAAGGTATGGCGTGTTTCTTGAGATCTTCGAAGGGAACTTGTAGGAGCCTAAGAAAAGTCCTCTCGTGATCGCCTTAATTAAACCATATTTGCTTCATTTGATCTTACCACCACACACCGAAGCAAAATGTTTCCAGTTGCAGTATGCAGACGGACTTCTGCAAGCGTTTTTATAGGGAATGGAGGCTTTACAGAGAGCTGTCATTTTAGAGTGCACAAGCAATGCATGGAAAGGGATTCAGTGCGGAGCAACAATTTATGGCCCTGCGAATTGGCGTC